TCTCCCATCTCATCAACAACCGTCTGTTCAATGCATCTGTTCGCTTAATGGAGTTCGCATCCGATCTTCACTGATCTCCTGAACGGTGGCTCTATCTCTCTTCAGAGCAATCATCTCTTTTTCTGGGCCACCGCTTCCAGACGGTTCAACGTCCCCTGGTGTGTTCTATAGCGACTTGCGGTCGCAGTGTCCCAATTTGCCCGCCCTACGTCTCATTACAGAGTAGATAAGAAGTGCGCGCTTACATGTGCTGACGTGAAACCAATTTTATTTGAACGAATGTGAAGATGGATTCATTTTCCCGGAAGATTGTATCGAATATAGCTGGAATGCTTACATGCTTGGTCTTTTAGTGCGTCGCTTTCCCAGTTTTTGAACATTTCCATATCAGCAAGATCATAGAAGTAATGAATAGTCTTCGTCTTAGTCTAACTTTAGGTTGTTGAAGCATGTAAAACTGTACATTATCAGGACAGAAACTTGATCAAATCAGTTTCTCGAGTTTCTCGCATCAGATCGCTATTCCTACTTTTTCGCAACTTATACGCCACCATAACTCCCCCCTCCCCCCACCCGAGCCTGACGTCGGCTCTCGTGCCGCCATGTCAGAAAACCATGTCAGCTTTCATCTCTGAAGCACCGCCACAGCCCCGCTTGTCACCCAGCTAAACGCCCGATTCAAAGCAGCCAGTCTCCTCAAATATCAATCGCACAAAACCAACACCTTTTTAGCGGATCCCCCGGGCGCTCCCCTTTTCCGCGCGACAGCCCCCATTGAGTCCGGCGGCGGCGCTGGCGGCGGTGCCAGCTGTTTGCGGTGCAGTTTAGCGGACGTGTTGAATACAGCTCCATTGATGCGGGTACCCTGCCTGTGGCGACGCAGAAAGCCTCAATTAAACACTTCCCCAGCTCGCGCGGCGGACCGAGGGACCAACTGTCGCCTCACCTACCGACAGCTGTCGTCCCGCGGCCCGTGAGGACCGGATTTTCAGCACCCGTCTCCCGTCAGAAATGGAGGCTTATTGGTGGCTCTGTGGCGAGTGCTGGCAAATATGGAAGGATGAAACCGCCGAGCGCTAAACGATCCAGGGGACACAGGGAAAACAAGCCATAAATCGGTAGGACAGTTTGGCTTTTATTAGCTTTTTTGTTGCACTTGCTGTAATTTGAGTTTAGACTGAACAGCAGGAATAGGTATGAAAGCTCAGTTAACGAAAAAGTGCTATAATGTCCCTTTTCAAAGCGCTATCTACCGGCTGAAGCACTTTGTGCCTGCGAGTTGAAGCTAAGCAAGCAGAAGAATGAATCTGTCTTGAAAAGTTCATAATTTAAATGGGATTTATGGGATTTATTTCAAATAAGTTGGCATATTGGTGGGAAAATTATGAAGAAATACCCATGCAGTTAACCTATTCATTACCTGTAAATGTATCATTTTTACAAACAAATTAATTGCCTTTAAAAGTATTGATCATCAGAACAGATATCACCTTTCAGCTTCCATGTCAGTCGTTATTATCTCGTTGTCACTGGAATGAGTTGACCTCTGTATATTGATGGGACGAACACACGTGACATCAAAGGAATGAATACCATTCCGTTACATTCCTGAAACGCTAGTTCATCAGGACACGATTTAATCCCGCGAAGGACTTCCGTCACCCGTCATAAATGTTCCAGTTTCACATTTCCTAATTCCATCAGTTATTGATAACCTGCTCTACAAAATGTACCCGTTAGATAGATGTCATGTGTCGTGTCCCCTGCCGAGCTCGTGGCGTTTATAAAGGCGCTAATATGATGGCTAAGTACCGGGATCAGGAGGATGCGGGCCGAGTTTAGACCTCTACAGTTACATCTGGTATGCTGATGTTATTGCTCTGTTAAATCTGCAATGGGCAATACAACAACGCCTCTATTTATCCAATGACGTGTAAAATATGATATCCACCTGGTAAATCTCCTGTGAGACCTATCTATGAGACCTTCCCTGCATATCGCAACCCCGTACCTCCCGATGAGTGGAGGGGTCTCGCGCTGGGCTCACGGAGGATCTCACGGCCAGCCGCTCGGTCCGGATCACGGAGAATCTCCTGTCAGCCGCTCGGCCCCGCTCGCGGGGGATCTCCGGCCCGCCGCTCGGCCCGGCTCACAGAGAATCTCCAGCCCGCCGCTCGGCCCGGCGCTAATCCCCGGCCGGCGACAATCGGTGACCGATAGGTGACTGGGGCCGGCGGCGGTGGCGGCACCTCAGAGAGGTCTGTCCACCATTTGTCGAGTATTGTCAGCCGGCTCTGAGGCACGACAGGCGCTGTCACAGCGAGCGACGAGAGCTGGGAGAGGGATAAAGGTGGGGAGGAGACGGGGAGGGTGCCGGGAGGGTCTGGAGGTGGCTGGGAGAGGCTGGGAGGATGTTAGAAGAAAGGTAGTCCGTGACTGAGAGATGGCTGGGAGGTAATTACAGGAAGATAGTTGGATACGACTGAGAGGCATAGCATCAGCCTGAGACATCTCTTTAGCCGGGAAATGACTGAAAGGTATGAGCTTTGCCAGGGGATGGTGGGAGGTATGACCTCACGCTGGAAGACCATAGAGAGATGCCAGTCGGCAGTGGCTACAAATTCAATGGCGATCAGCTGGACGTTTGAGTCTTGCTGAAAGATCAGCTAAATCTTGAAAATGGTTTTGGTGGATCTTTCATTATGTCCATTGTCCACCAACCTAGTGCTGTCTGAGTTCGAACGCGCATGCATGTGAACGGTTCGGACCGGATGCGGTGGATGGGACGGGAAGAGGGAGGTTCTGTTCCAATTCACAGCAGACCGCAGAGATGACCGGATCAGTGGTATCCGGTGGACTCGCTGTGAACAGAGCTGAGGAGGGGGCGGTGTGGGACGGTCCGATCGTCTGCCCCGGACGCGTCGGACGGCGCGGAAGATTGGGGATCTATTGGAGATGACATGTCAATGGCCAGATGAGACGCGGATCATGAGGCGAGAGATGAGCGATGGGATGTAGAGAGGGATCAGGGTCATCGCTCTAAGATCAAAGACCATTGAGTTTTTTTCGGTTTCAATGACATTTCCAGAATAAAAAAAAAATCAGTCGTTATAAAAACGGCTATTTTTTTTAAAGCGTGAATGTCGTTTAAAACGTGTCACAGCCTTAATAGGAAAAGTCTGCCCTGAACAACGCACAGTAACGACTTTAACACGTTTAAGCACATTGTATGACAATGTCCCAGCATTATCACTTCTCGTAACATGGGTAGTGAATCGCTATCGTATCACTAAACCAGTCATCACGCTGTACGTACCCATACCCTCCTCACGCAACAGCCATAATTCGCGTCGCGTTGCGTGAACAGAACATTATTCATGTTCACTGTGAACACTGGCGCTACATCGCAAGAAACTCAGATCTCTACTGATATGCAGCCGCTGTCATTCGAAGCAAATCGCTGTTTTAGGGCTATGGGGCCATAAAACACAGTATCTACTGCCGTCCTTCAAACCACCATGCTGGGAACCATGTTGTTCGTGCGTGAACAACAGTGTGGCACGACTGTGACAAATTTGGCGCACTGGTCGACACCAGAGACTAATATGGACCGTTGGTGGGAATCTTATCCGGTGGTGTGAGGAAAAAGCCGGCAAATTCAGCGGACCGTACTATCGCGCAGAGACGGCGAGAGAGTGGGAAAGAATAGATATCGACCCCGACGGAAGGCAAAATATGGCCTTATCGCTGGAAGGCAGCCAGAGCGAATCCTTTGCTTTGGGTTTGAAATGATTAATCGTTGAGAGAAGACACCTTCAAACCCAACTAGTAAGCGCTAGGCTGTTTGTAGCTGACACTGAATGCCTAATGCCATTGCCTATTGCCTTTACCTGTCGGGATATATGAAGCACTGCTTATAACTTTTTGCAGCATCACACTGCACCTATTACCGGATTGTTCTACTGGCCTAATTGCACGCACAGAGCCACTCAATTGCGGTCATGTTTCAATTTTTAACCTGTCTCCGCGGACTGCCAATAATTGCGGGGCTCCTGCCGACGCTGGCTGCAGTGCCGGGCATAATAAACATCGTTTAATATCTGTAATTCGCCTCCTCAACCATCGACATAGCGTGGACCGTTCACGAGCAAAGCAATGCACCGAGGGTGAGCCGCTGCAGACTGTTTGTTATGCATCTCACAGCGTCGGTGAGTGTTAGCTCCATTTTCCTGTCCTCACCTCGCCCCAGCTCGCCCTCTCCCGCCACGGGAGAGCTGTGAACTACAGCTTCAGAGACTCACCGCCAGGGAGCAGCGGCGGCAAAAGCCAGGGTTTACGATGCCGCACTCCTTCCACTAATTGCAAGGAAAATGGCAGCGCGGCGTGAGTAAAGATGACCGGCGCTAGTCGCCCGTCAAATGGCACTATGGCGCCGATCGGCTCGCCGATTTCATGGAGTTATGGTGCCGCTCTGATATCTCGGTAGGTATGTCCTGTCAGGCTGTCAACTCGTCTGCACGGGAACAATGCTGCTGATGCTTGAAGACGAACATCGGACACGTGCCGAAGGTGTCAGCACGAGTGGTGGCGAGTGATCGCGGGGGCAAGTGACGTGCTTTTTGGCCGGTATTACCCCGGCTGAGCTCGCGGTATTTAGGTAGATAAGTCGCCCACACAGGCAGCGGACCAGTCTGTAAGTAGAGCTATCGACTCCACTGCTACGGCGTGGCCGTTTTGTATGGTTTGAGTTGCCCCGTCAGGCCGATTTTATCTCTAGTAAGATATACTCGTAAGCTAAACAATGGGACATGCTAAATAATTTATATTTTTGTAGATAATGCAGCATAACGTAATGAGAACAAGACGTTTCGTATTCGGCGTTTCGTACGTGTAAATTGTAAATTGTACTTCGTACATTTGGACTATACATGTATGGGCACTCGTCGGTGAATCAAATCAGTCATCGTTTAGTAGTCACCTTTCAGAAGAAGAAACAAGCGTTTCTGGGACTAGTTTGTTTATTTCGCATCCATCATTCATGTTCTATGTACATTGCACACCGTTTTATCCAAACATTGTGCATGACACAATTATCGATTGTTTACCATTTACGTAGGGGAGATCCGTGTAAGACGCCCAGGGTCGGTAAGAGGCCCCATCGCTTTTTTTACCAAACCAATAATGTTATTTATTTTTTAATGTACTTGTAAAGCAGAAGCCCTCTTGAAACAACAACTCACGAAACCTGAGGTATCAGGTGCGTCGCAGAGACTTTTGGTAAGCCTGTTTCTGTTTTTGCCCCTTTACTTGCCAGATATATGCATCTTTATCGCCCTTATATATCTGAAAAAACAATGGCTATCAAATGCAATCTTATCTCATCGAAATTTGTCACATGTTAGCTTCAGAATAGACCATGTTCTGGTGCGCTGCAAATGTCTCATAAACCATAAAGATTGTGACGTTAAAACACTGCATTTTTTTAAGAGGCCCTCCCTTCGAGGATGATAAAACGCCCCCCGATAAAAAATGCCCCCGATGCTAAAACGCCTGCACCTGCGGCAGGCGTGGCATTCTTCTTTCAAGGAGTTTGTTTTTGTTTCTTTTTTTTCTGTTTCTTTTCTTAGAGGTAATAGGTACAATTTTCGTTGGTCATCAGCGTTTGGTTGTGCTAATATATAGTTTTCGCATTGTTCGAGCGCTTTGGAAGTGTTATTGGTTTCGATAACACCGTATTTGCTTAGCGTTTCGAAATAAAAGGCCTTGCAGCTGTGTTCGCAAAGCGTCTTTTACAAGTCGACTTGACTTGTAAAACGCCCGAGGGGGGGGGGCGTCTTACCATACCCATAGTGTAAGAGGCCCTTTTGCAACTTTTTCCAAAATGTTTAAGTTTACGGTTTGTGTACCCCCTAGATTCATTTTGAATGCAAATATGTATGGGAAAATGATGCATGCTCACAGCGCATGCACACGTTAGCTCTTAAATATTATCATTTGTCTAAAAATAGCAACTGAGCTTAAGGGGGGGCCTCCTGCACCACTCTCCCCTATTTACATAGCTTGGCATTACACTAGGAGCGCACAAAAATTGCATGGCACATCTATAACTTGAGACTGTGACGTCACAAGAGAGGAACGAGACGGTGAGGTCGTCACGATAACACTGACGTCACCGGTCAATTAACATGTCAAACCCGGCAATTAAGTAACACTCGAGTAGGAAAGGCCACAACTGGAGAAAAGGGAGTGAGGTCGAATACCGTTTCTTTTGTCTGAAATAGTGCATTCAACGCTAACGCTTAAGCGGATAAAAGGTGTTCAGTTACACTAGCTAACAACCACTTCTGGTTGAAAGGGTACAGCAAGAAGTAGAACACGGCGATACACAACACTCAATATCACATTAAATCGCAAATACTCGTCTTTGGTATCAATATGCCACCTGAAGCTTAGTCAGCGTGACACTCGGTGAAAAAGTCCGACTCCTCAAACTTGGCCTTTTCTTCTGCATTCTGTTCTATACTTTTCAGATTCTCCATCAATTAATCAGTCTCTGAGGCAACGACAAAACGAACAACACTGAACAGCCAATGTCCTGACCAAAGGACAGAGTTGCATCAGTCTCGATGTTTTGTTGCAGAGCGGGCTCAGTCGAGCAAAAATCCAACGCCTGAAGTCATCTCACCCAACCACATGATCCAGCTTCCTTTGCATTAAAAAAGGGTCTGACCGTCAGTAATTGCTTCGTCTTGCCAGCTACAGCCTGCTCGCAAACCAGACATGGATGGCTTGAAACAGACCATCGAGAGTCCAAGCATCAGTCAACCGGGTGACTAGCTCCAAAATAACTAACATATCCTGGCCTTCACCACTGCGATGGTCTGCACAATTGCAGTACATGGTGATCATTGCATTTCGGCACCTGGTAGGGCCATTTCGGCAACAGTTCAGCACCATCTCGGCACCAAATCGGCGCCTGGTCTGCACCATCTCGGCACCTGGTCTGCACCAATTTAGCTGCAGCCTCGCAGCCTTCATTGAACCGGATCCGGAACTCTCTGTCTCTCAGACCACTGGCGAGGGATAGGAGACATTGAGGCGTGCCTGGGGAGGTGTGTACTTCAGGAGACGCCCGTCCTCCGTCCGACGGTGCTGCCGTCCATTCAGCGGCGGCAGCTGGTGGAACTCGAGACTGCGGGGACTGGAGATAGACGGCGCTGCACGTCGCGGCCGCGGCGAGTTGCGGCTGAGACTGTTGAGCAGCTTTGGCCGGTTCTTGGGCGATCGTCCCACCGAGCGGAACTGCGGCTTTTCGTAAATGTGCAGCGTGAGGTCGACACCGGCCGGGGTCTGGTATCGCTCGTCGGGCGCGAGGGGACGGCCGGCCAGTGGCTCCTCATAGCAGTGCTCCTCGTACTCCGGCTCTGCCGGCGGGTCGTCGCTGCGCCGCCGCAGCTGGTAGCTCTCCGTGCGCTGCGGGCGAGCTCGAGGTGAGGCGGTCACCACACAGCCGTCCGGTGCCACGCGCGTCACCTGCATGGCCTCGTCCGAGGCGGCGTACGCTGTGTTATCGTGCGCCGGCAGGAGGTGGACGCCGTCCGGGATTCCAGCGCGGTACGCCTGAGGAGAGATGGACGTGTACCCGACCGAGCTGTAGTCGTCTGGGAACTCGAAACTGGAGGCTGTGATGCTCGCGGACTTCTGTTCGACCGGCTGCACATGCTCGATGGTGTAGTGGTTCTCCCGGGTTCGCAGACCGGCCCAGAGGGCGCGGCTGGGGCGGCAGGCTGCTGAAGAGGCAGTACTTGGCGGTGGGTACAGGACTGCCTCGCACTGACCGCTGCCCAGCGGTGGCTTGTTGTTGTCAACTGAGTCCAGACCCAGACGGCTCTTCTTCTGCCTGTGAACAGGAGGAAGATGGCGGTCAAAAACAGGTCAAGGGGGGGTGGCAAATACATGGGAGCGCCTTCGTGACATGAGTGACCGACCCGTAGAGCGGAGGAAGATCCAGCGGGATTAAAGCCAGTTTTGGATTCTGTTTATGCAATTCTGAGTCATCTCTGTGGTTTTAGGATGGTCAGAAATCACGTCACTGGTCGGACGGCTCAGAGCTGCAGAGCAGCTCCGAGAATTTCATCTGAGCTTTGCACCGACAAGGAAGACGATGCAGGGAAGGAAACGCAGCATCACATCAGCACAGCACACGAGATAAACGGAATACCAAGTGCGATATACATTATACAACCAAGAGATCCTTGATGAGCTCAAACCTTCGTTGAACTAAAGGGAAGGCAAATAGGCATGTAAATAAGAAATTGAGGTCCAATTTTCCAACCGGTACGTGGGTCAAAATATAGAAAAGCCAACTGCGATACGCCATGCGTTCACATGTAGGTATGGTGCACTTAAGCATTCACTTACTCCTTCAGCCTGAGGCAGAATATGGTGAGCAGGATTCCGAAGAGGGTCAGACCGACACACGCGCAGATGATGACAAAGAACCACGTGTCGTCAATCGCCGGACCTGTAACAAAAGAAAGGTGCGTTTGTAAGATACGTAAAACTAATCACGTTCTACATGACACAGAGTCGCACATCGACGCTCTTCCACGACTGATATGCTGAGTCCATATATCACCAGAAAGTAGCCATGGCGCTACCATAATAGGTCATTGCAGCCAGAAGAAGAATATAAAGCAGAAGTCAATTCCAAGATGGCACATTTAAGCCATTTGTTTTGGTCAATACCGTCATGTCTATCACAGAGCACAAGGTTTGGACCTCTGGCGATGGTCTACCTATACTGCATATTTAGCCTGAATAAAATAGCACTCATGATTGCGGCCTAAAGGGCAGAACTAGAATGGATCGAGTCAGGAGTGCACCCGGTGATGAGATCCCTCGCCAGGCCAGCTCTGTCATTTCATAACAATTATGTGGTTACGACCATAATGATACCAAATGACTATGCACGTCATAATGAAAATAAAAACCTCTCCTGCAAATAGTTAATGCTGTCAGCGGACAATGTTTGACGCTGTGCAACAGGCCCGTGCAGATATATGTAGCGTCTCAGCAGAAGACTGCAATTTCCTTTGCATCGGACTGGACCTGATGACTGGGATGTTAGGTCACTCATACACATGTATCCACTTCTTGGATCCATTTCTGCACTTAGCCTAATCTGCGATTTCTCTCGTTCGTGACATGGATGGAACCGTTGAACCGAGCGACATACAGCGTGAGAGGTGTGGCTCCCATTCAAGGAGGCACCGAAACATATATAGAATCTCGGAGACTGAATTTGTAAATAATTTTTTGTACAAGTGTAGGGTGAATTATATCCACTTCGTGGTCGGCTTATTCCATGTGATTAAGTTGAGTTTGCTTTCAAGTACTAAAACATCGCGACGAAGCTCGAACAAATATCACGGGTCATGGCGACTGTATAGTTTGTGGTGATGAACCAACACGGTTTGGTGATTAAGCACTTCTAAAATCCATCAAAATAGCTGTGCACGAGGATTAGAGCGTCATAAACACGGGAGCCGACTTCAAGAGAGACTCAGTCATCCAATTATCACTAAAACCTCAGTCACGGATACTACTATCCAAGGGTGTTGCGTGTGACTATTTAGAGAAAGCGCTTTCAATATCGGGTCCCCAGAAGGTAGCCCGGCCCTATTCCCACGATATGATACACCTGCGCAAGGCCTCCATCCATTAACATAATCTTCTGAAGCATTCCGAATGGGCGGTACTCCACCCTTATTTGATAATGCGCCGATTTCCACCAGCTGCAGGTACACACAACGGATTTACATACTTCAAAATAGTTAGCACCGTTCAAATATGGGATCGGACCGGACGTGCACCATAAATTGTTTTCTCTCTTTCGTCTGCTGGCCCTCTTTATCGATGTGCAATTGTTTCTCTCTCCATTCCTCTCTCTTTCTCTCTCTCTCTCTCTCTCTCTCTCTCTCTCTCTCTCTCTCTCTCTCTCTCTCTCTCTCTCTCTCTCTCTCTCTCTCTCTCTCTCTCTCTCTCTCTCTCTCTGTCTCTCTCTCTCTCTCTCTCTCTATCTATCTATCTATCTCTCTCTCTGTCTCTCTCTCTGTCTCTCTCTCTCTCTCTCTCTCTCTCTCTCTCTCTCTCTCTCTCTCTCTCTCTCTCTCTCTCTCTCTCTCTCTCTCTCTCTCACACCCATTTACAACCAGCGGCAGCAGCAGCAGATATGGCCCAGATCGACCGGCGGAGCGACAGCACCTCTTTTATGGGGCGCCCGATCACGCGCCGGTAGCGCCGGCTTTGTCACTCGTGCGCCGCCACTGCCATGCCGCGCCGCTCGTGACGCGAGAGCGCCACGAAAGCCGCAGGCGCTCCGACTTCGGCCGGCAGTCTGCTGGCCACTACTTGGCATCCAGCGCTGGGGCAGCAATCGGTCTGGGACCCACGAGATAAAGATGCAGTCGCCAACAAAATTAAAATTTGAAACGTTTAGTTAGGGCCAGGGTCTAATGCATCAAACCGTTGCATGTTCACTCCTGGTAAACGCTGACATCCCAACCCTTACAGGGTGTCTCAAAAGTTCGCTTACAGGTACCAGCCATGCTTTTTTGTCAATAATTCATTTTGCATGGGCATTGGTAACAACCTTCCTCAAGCAGCTTCATTGTTTTCAAGCGCATTCGACCCTTCATGAGCACACAAAAAGGGTTCACCTCTGACCATGGATCAGGCATGAAAATGGAGGTCGCATACTCGGGTCGGCTGAGAAACTCTCTGCTTCACGAGTAATGGGAATGGTTCGGTCGGAAATGACACATGGCAAAGTGTCGGCGAGGATGAGTACAACATGATGGTCATCAAATAAAAACGGTGGCTAAAATTTTTGAAGGACAAAACCATGCGAGACTAACAGCGCTTTGAACGACCCTTGTACCGCAGCAGACTCGTGCTCCGGAAAGCAGCTGAAAATGCAGTCCTAACTATTGAAAACTGACTAGAAGCTAACAGACAGAGGTTACCCAGTTTCAAAAATTGCAGGTCATCATAAAATAAAGACAAAGTATCATTTAAAATTGTTTATAATATCTATAACGCTAAATTTTGAGGGAAAATAATGCGAAAATCGTCAATGCCGAGGACAAGTGACCCTCCAAAAGTGTCAATTAATGTAAAGTTTTATCTAACGAAGTTTCAAGAGGCAGATCTGGAGCAAATAGCTTTCTTTTACACACAAAATCCGGACAAAACTGCACGATGGACAGGTTTTGGCCGTTTACAAAGCAGAACCTCTCCTGCGGAAAACACTCCGGAACCCAGCGAAGGTCTTGGCATTGGGAATGATGAGCGTTCGGGATTTGCAAATTTTTCAAAATGTGTCTAAGAAACAGATGGCCGACACATTCTGCTACGATATGCTGCGAAAAATTTGCCCCTGGCACTTCCCATTTGTTCAGGAATGGGGTTGTTTTGAAAAGGAAAATGGTGCTTGGGAGGTCGGCGCCAGTCATTCATGAAGGAGTTAGTGCCAGAGAAGACCTACAAAATACTCACGGATGGTGTCGATGCAAGCTATCGGCTTTCAGGGAGAAGCGGATGTTGCCGGGGAGCTCGTCAAACCTAAATCCGACGCAGAAACTGCGGGGGATTCCCCTACAAGAGCTTGAAAGCTGGTAACCTTTTATCAGCCTCCGGCAGCTGACGCAGTGACGAAAATCGGTATGGGCAAATATTTTTGGAGATACGGCAAAGGGTTTGGTTTCCAACCTTCCGAATCAGTTGTCAAAGCATGCATATTTGTCTAGTGTACACACGGACACCAAAACCTTAGATTTTTGGCCGGTTCTTATATGCTTTATTGACATGGGAAATGTGTAAGCGAACTTTTGAGACACCCTGTAGACGTGTTAGAAGTGTATTTTCCATTTTCGAACCATAAATATAATACTTTGGTGGTTTTTCTATATGTAAGTGAGACTTGAGATGTTTTTTTTAAATGAGAATAAAGTTCTAGTCTCTCTCAAGTTCTGTGGCAGTTCATTTATTAGTTTAATTGTACTAGGAAGAAACGAGTTTTTCAGTAGACAGGTTTTGGGATATATTTCCCTTCTGTTATTTAAGTTGCGAAGAAGTCGGTTGTTATTTCTTTGATCAGGGGGCAATAGTTGTTTGATATATGTTGGAGTATCGTCGAGCGTCAGTCGTTGGAAAATACTATCTTATGCATTTCACGTCTTTTCTTTAATGAAGTCCATCCTAGTTCTTGTCTAAGATTGTCTGTCGGAGTTCTAAATAATGTCGCAGTCACAAGTCGGGCCCCTCTGTTCTGGAGTGTTTCAAGTCGTAAAGTATCGTGTACTGTTAGCAGTCCGTCGTTAAATGATGTCCGCGTAGTCAAAATATGGCAACACATGCGTCGTATATATTTGTTGCAATAAGGTCCTGGGCAAGTAGGAACCGATACGATAGAGTGGGCTAAGGGCAATGTTAACTTTTCTGATGATGTCGTTGATGTACTCGTGAAACCTAAGGTCGTTCGATATTGTCAATCCCAGGTGTTTATGATTAGCGACAACTGGGATGGGCATGGCTGCAAATGTTAGTTTTGGTGGGATTTTCTGTTTGCGTTTTGTGAAATGCTGTTGGAGAGTTTTCCTTGGGTTAAATTGTATCATACAGTTGTCACCGTACTTGTGGATTTCATTTAGGTCTCTTTGAAGTGAGCTTTCAACCTTATGTAGTCCACAACTCCGCTCCTCTCAGAATTCAGAGCTTGGTGAACGGATGCCTCGTCACCGTCTGCGCTCGGAACTCACACTACCCCGGGGCTCCGAAGGGCCATCACTATGCACGCGATGCCACCGTTCGGTCTCCACACCTCGTGCTGTTCGCCCCGGGCCACGCTGTCCTCCCTCCAGGAGACGCCGTGTCTTAATTTGACCTGGCGACTAGCGGGCAGGATGGGAAGCTGGGGAGGATGGCGTGTCAAGGTAAGAATGCACGTGGGTTGTGCTGCAGGGTATGTAGAGCGGAAGAAGAGGGGGATGAGGGATGGATAAGAAGACAGGAGATAGATGAAGGTAGTGAGGGAAATGATAAGGGACAAAATAGAGGGGGAAGAGAGAGATGAGCAGAGAAAGAAAGAGGGAAAAAGAAAAGAAGGAAATAACGAAGGAGGGAAGGCGGAAGAGGAAATGAGGAATCAGGAAACGAAGTGGATTAGGGGAAGGTGAGAGAAAGAGAGAGAGGGGGAGAGGGAGGGAGAGCGAAAGAGAGAGGGAGAGAGAGAGAGAGAGAGAGAGAGAGAGAGAGAGAGAGAGAGAGAGAGAGAGAGAGAGAGAGAGAGAGAGAGAGAGAACGTGATGCCATTGTTCAGGCCCCAGCACTTGCCACGGTGGGCAGTCGTTATATCCATTAACTTGGTGTAATCATTCGTGTTTCCTCTTTCTGCACACCATTGCTGACGGTAAACACTGCCATACGTCAGGTCACTCGGCTCATCACTTAAAATATCCGTGCAATATAACAGGCTGTGTACAATTAGTCTTGAATACAATAGGAATGACATGTAAATGTTAGTGTTTCATGGGCCTGCAAGCAACGGAGTGTTTGGCGGCTGCCGCCAAAGACAATGCAAAAATTGCAACAATGAGCGCTTAATTTGTTCGCCTAATCACTGTTAAGGTCGTTTCACACCTTAGTCCAGGGACATTTTTCATAACTGTTACACCTTGAGGCTCGTGTGAACATCTCGATGCAAGTGCAAAGCACACACCAATGTGCAATTGGACGCCACAAACCCATCACTACACCACCTTGAACAAAGTCACCACCAGCACTGTCACCACTGCCCTCCCCTCCCCTCCCCTTCCCCCCCCCCTCCTTGGTGATTAGCACCTATCATTAATCACCGGTGCGGCCCGCGCAGCGGCGCTGCAACTGCGCGGCAACTTCAACTGCAACTTTGGACGATCGGCGCGGCGGCGTGCGGCTGGAGAGGAGACGCAGTGGTCGGTGGTGGCGACTGGGGTAGTGGACTGGAGATGGTAGGACTTTTGAGGCTGGACCGCTAGACTAGGGTGGTGGATGGCGTTAGGTGGATGAACGGATGAGTGGACGAGGATGATGGACTCAGTGGATTGGTACTGGAAAATTAGATGTGGACAGGGTTGGACGGGTGGTGGCAGATCGGGTGTGGACTGGAGAAAATTGTCAAATGTGAACGGGGCGGTAGATCAAATACGGACTGATTAGGTGGACAGAGGTGGATAAGGGAGAATGGCATATTTGATGTGGTCTGGTGAAGGTGGGCAGACCGAAAGATTGGGAGGGAGTTGCAGATGTAGAAGAGGTGGATCAGATGGTAGCATTAATGGCAGCAGTAATGGCGAACGTAGAGGACCTGGGTATAGCTGACCATCAGAGAACCGTGGGTGAAACTGTCAAATAGCCACGGGTAGCTGACTGACCGTCAGAATACCGTGGGTAAGATCGTCAGAGGACCGGACATCTGACCGCTGACCGCCAGCTCAGCGCCATTTACGGGCCATTAGTGAGGCAGTGTAGCGAAGCGGCCCATCCGACCATGCAGGCAGGGTCAGACGGAGAGGGCCGCCCGGGCGTTCACTGGTTCTGTTCTGGTCCGCTGGACTGGTAAAGAGTACTGGTTCGCTGGACGAGGTAGGAGGAACAGTGTACTGGTCAGCTCGACGGCTTCTTGAAATGCACAGGTCACCTGTAGCTAAAGGCAGCTTTATCCATTTCTCATCAAATGAAATGAAGTCTACTCTTGTGAGGAGCGTCTTAAAATGTCCGATGCCTAAACCAAGTATTATGCACGAAACCGACCTTACAATACCTACGCACTGCTGTGTATCATGATGTAAGTGAAAATTTTGTATGTTTCTTTTTGGTTAGGTCTTATGCCCTCTTGTGCCTTATGATAACCGTTAATTACGACGTTAGACCGAGCCGCTGTGGGTACAGCTGATGGCTGTCATTGGTTTGTGGTGACAGTAAGACGCAGAACAAGGCTGTTTTTGCTTGCAACTGCCATCTCTAAGCACCCGAAATGCTGTAATAACTAATCCTCCAAGGTTTGTGTGCATTTGTTGAAATACAACCTTTCATAATTAACGAGTCTCCTACAGCAAAAACGTAGTGAACAGAGGATCACATTTTCTCCTTGAAGGCGTCAGAGCTTAAGCGTGTCTCCAAAAATGCGCATTAGCTTCCTGTCAGAAGAGTGTGGTGAAGCACCTTGTACCGCCCGTAAATCCTCTTTGGCCTTCGACTCCAGCTGAGACATGATGGTTGGTGTACATACAGGTGTGCAGACTGGCGGCTAAGCCATGCTGAGATGATGGTCGATCGAATCTACTCCGGGTCATGACCCCGAGCATGGCCGGAGCGAGGCACGGTGGGTGTCGGAAAGATATAGCAACGTGCACGACGAGCAAAAGGGAGAGAATGTCGCCGCAGAATCGGCTGATACGTGCTGCTATGGAAGGCAAAAGGACCAGCAGAAACTTCGAACATTGGTCATTCTTAAATGTGCGTGAGCTAAAGTAAGTCCATTCGGATGTATTTGGGTTTAGACGAGAGCAAGAGAAGTTAATCAACGCGTATGTGACTATAGGTGTGATTGTTAGCTCGTGCTGTAGAAACTTGTGAATCACATTCATAAAATAAAAAGCCGATGTTTTACTAGAGTAAAGGGAATGTTTCACATACTTGGTCACGCAAGAAATATTGAAATGCATTATCTGACCGTGTTCGTACAACTTGGGCTGTGTCACACCGAATCGAACCAACGGACACACCCAACCGGTGCTCAACCGGTTTAGCTGTCATTAGAACATCATAATGCAATTAAGGGCGGTCCATCTTGAAGTGAGAGACTTGTAATGAAATGTCTTTGGCGTACCTGATTGCCAATTAACCCTATTAGTGGCAGGCTCCTGGCTACCCCCTATTAGTGGCAGGGGGGCTGTTTACGACCCCCCCTTGATATCTCGAGATCTAACGGGCCGATTTTCAAAATTCAAACGGCATTCGATTTCGCTCAACGTGATCTACATTTCTAAAAAAATTAAAATTAAAAAATGTCAATAGGGGGGTAGAGGGGGGTAAAAACGGGCAAATTGCAGATACATTTTAGACTGTTTATCACGGCCAGGTTTCTGAACCAATCTTAACGCAACTTTTGCCGATCGATAGAGCATGAACCAGGAATTCACAGGGATCCTAAAAATATGCATTTTCAAAAATCATAGGCGGATACAGATCATTGAGATTGGGGGTACACAAAAAGTATAGTAAATAAGGTTTTTGTTGGTACTGTTTCTAAAAAGGGTGGTAATGGTCTTGTTATGTTATAATTTTCTTATGAGAGAACGACTAAAATTGTATTGGTAATGCATAGGCGGTGTCAGGGCACCTATGTTGGGAGGTAAAACATAACCCCCCTTTTTGGACGCCTGGATCCGCCTATTATAGCAAAAACGTGTCAAAAGAGGATGCACAATAACTGTATATGTTATCACATGATACCTTTTATTCACTGTTCGTAAAACTGGTGCAGCATCGTGATCTTCGCCCAAATGACTCGCTTCACGAATAGGACCCCCCAATTCCCAGTGCTCTGGAGCCGCCCCTGGTAAAGTTATGAACTTGAAATTTTCAGGGAATGTGCCCAATTTAGTTTTAGGAAAAGTCAGAAAATTTCAGCATCGTAGCTTCAGCGGTTTCGGAGATATTCCCGAAAAACCTGAGGGGTGGATAAAAACAACCCCCCCTGCCACTAATAGGGTTAATTAACGGTTAAGATAGGCCAGAGAACAAAAATCATCTCTCAAAGTATTACTTGCGACAGAGTGAAAGTGAAATATCCACTCCCATCACATCTCAGATTGTAAATCCTGGGTATAACGGCATTGAACGGTGTGTGAACCTTCACTAAATTGACTGTGCCGAAAAAAAATCTTCGAAATTACTAACTGAAACCAACTCAGTTGTGTTGAATGAGTTATAGAATCGATATATCACCTTCCGAAACTATTTTCAGATAATCCGTTCCGTAAATTTACCTCTACCACCTTTCCCCCCCCCCCCAGTCCGTCCACACTGTCCACTGACCTTGCCGCGGCATCTCCACGTAGTCCACCGCTCCTCCGGACGCCCAGCGACACAGCCCACAGCTGTGGTTCATCAGCTGCGTCGCAGACTCGGCCAGGAAGGAGGGAAGCGGTGGCGGTGGCAGCGTCAGGATCATGTCCGGAGGTGGACCGAGCTCCTCCAGCAGCGCGCACTCGCCGCCGGGACATGAGCTGTTGGTCGGTTCCGACCAGACGTACGGAGCGCCGCCGCCCGCCGGCACCGACACCTCGTAGAACGAGCTCATGACGTCACTGGAGCGGTCCGGTGACGTCACTGGGGTAGCTCGACGCACTCTGAGGACATAAAGAGAAGCAGTGTTAAACTGGTGATCACAGACCGTTGTTTTATGTCTTATGATGTCACTGCCTGGCACGGATATGGTGGCATATTTAGTTTAGGTAGTCGAATAGAAACCAAATAGGATGCTTACAAAATGCTGCTGTGAAATACTTTATCATTTATTAAATTATGTTTATTTTTGGAGATCAAGCATCCACGTAGCTGATCTATCAACATAAAGAGCGAAAATTAGTAACTCGATGCAGGATTTTGAAGTACTGCGTGGTGTGGGTAAAAGTGTAACTGGAATGGCGGACGAAATTGCTGGAAATTGCAGGAGCTGTCTGGGATAGTGCCCCAATTTAGCCCCATTTAAAACAATACCAACAAAATGGAGACGGATGTGAGCGAGCGTGAGTACCGTCTGTTCAATTATGAGCAAACAGCTCACCGAAAACAATGCTCCCAGTGTTATGGCACAAAGACGGAACGTGTAACCTGAGCTTCATCACAGTTACGTTTGGTATAATTCAGCGACAAATTGTTCATAATATCTCGGTAATTACAAGTTACAAAACTGATTACTTAATAGCCGCCTGGCCAAAGAGCCTTCATGTTGGCAAGGTTGCCTAGGCTGCGGTTTTGAGCTGCCATGTGGGTATAGACCCAGGCGGGCCCACCCGGCCTCCACACTGACAGTGCCGGCGACAGATGCCGCCTTCTGCGCCCGACAGAACAATAGACTACAGATGACTGTTCGCACGATCAAACAACCCGACACGGCCCGACCCGCTGTCCTAACGACCACTCCTTTGATGGCCATTTCCTCTCGTATACAGTCACTAACTGCGTTAGTCAGGGCGCCGGGTTTTTTGTTCGGATTCGGCGGTGTTGCCACCAATAAAGTCATGAATTCAGTTGGGGGCGGGTGGGAGCGGGGCGGCATTCTGACAGCGCCTTCTGTAGGCACTCCGGTTACCGTGTTTTGTCGGTCGCTTTGTTTCTTCCGTCACGGAACAGGTCAACAGCGCATTGGTGGGTTTGTTTAGTTAACCATTCAATCGACCAACTAGCCAAATAAACAGTCAGTAGGCGCAAACAGCCAGTCATCGTTCACCATCCTCTGAAGGCAGCGGCCATCGGGTTACCGCCTATCGGGCTTTAGTAAACTACAGCCGTAGACTCACGATATCATAAAGTCACAGTCATAGCCAACCATCGAGTCATCGCAACCAACAACTGGAGGTCCGACCTTAGCGTTGCCAGCCTCGGAGGAACCGGCCATCGGGGAGTGTGTTCCCGGGTAACAACTGGTCTCGTGCGGTCATTAAAGGGTTATCGGCGTCGCGCCGGTCGGACTTGTCGACTTTTTGTCGCAGGAGCCGGCCATGTGCCGACGCACGGGTGGAGCCATGCTGTCAGGGTGAAAAGGAAGTGTGTGGGGTAAGGGTAACGTGAGGTGAGCAAAGCTGTTATGTCGGGGGAGGAAAGTGGAATGTGGAACTGCTGAGTAGAGCTAATTGTTGCTGTTTTTAGGATTGTGGTACATGGACTATTGACAATAATTTCTAATGAATGGATATTTTGATACTGATGACGCTGAAACCGAAGGTGATGACACGATAGTACGTCTTCCTGTTCGTGGAGACTGGCGGAAAAAGGTGGCTCTTTCGAAGACTACACTTCCATGGCACACCGCTACAATCACATGTTTCTTTCCCAGCTGCCCAGTGTATCATCCACACTCCACAGGTCAGCCACCACCTGGGCTGGGCTGCTCGTGACTGGGGCGGGGGCAGGGGTGGGAGCGTCCGGCCGGCTGGTCATACCTCGGCCATCCCGTAAACAGCCGAAGAGGGCGATCTAAGGCCGGCTCTCCTCACGTCTCGCCCCGCCCACACCAGCGATACCTGACTGACCGGCCGGCTCTCTGGACCTCCGCTCGGTGGACGTTCAGGGGAGGTAAACAGAGGGCAAGTATTTTGGGACCGCAACACAAAATGTGATACTTTTCAATAATATTATTTGAAATTCTTGTAGATTGTAAATTATTAGATTATGTAACCCATACGTTTTTAAACTTGTATTGTGATTTTTTTTGTAATTCAGGGACGCTCACAGCTACATGCCCCTCGGCCACCTCTCCCGATCGGCCACCCTCCGCTCGACACCGTGTCAAACACGGAGCAGCGCTCTGTCGGCAGGGGCGGATCGTCCCGCGCTGATCAGTGATCGGAGACCGTGAGGTTGGCGGGAGTGGGCGGACGGGTCCCGTGTCACACAGTGTTTGACGCTGTGTTGCGATGTGTTGTGCGGTGTTGCGATGTAGCGATTTGTCGTTGTGCCTCACGATGTTTCACATGTTGCGCGATGTTGTGATGTGTCTCAAAGTGGCTCGTGTTGTTTCGGTGTCTCGGGTTGTCGCGTGGTGTTGCGATGTGTCTCGTGGTGTCTCCCCGTGTCTCGCCGTGTCTCTCTGTATCTCGCAGTGTGAGGCAGATCGCTCGCGTGACTGACTGCTGAGCGGACAGGAATGCCGGCCTGTCTGTGATGCCGCCGAGACGAGACCGGACCAGAGACAGACCCGGGCCGACCAGCACCCGACAGACGGGTCCCGGCCAGCGCGGCGGCGGTGGCTACCACCCGAGTGTCACAACTGTCAAACAGAGGCTTTCAATTGTCACCAGAACGCAACAGGATAGATGTAGTCATGCCAATCCGTCGTGCAAAACAGAATTTAAATGAAAATCCACGATTGATTTACGATGACAGAGTTCAAGGTCTTGAAAGCGTTTTCCCCTCGAATGAGGAAACGTTCAGGTTAACTCGTCGTTTCTTAAGCTTATCTGGAATGTCAGATAAGCCCTTGGCATGTTAATTGGGATGGCCTTTCTGGTGGGCCAGCCATGAACAACAGCTAATGTAGGCTCGAAGCGTTTTGTTTTCCTTCCAATCTGAACATCTCAGCGGAATTAATTGCTTCCCCGGCCGCCGCCCACCATCGCGGAAAGGGATGGACAGGTGGGCCAGATTAGACGTCTTGGAATGCCCAAACTGGACAGTTTCTCTTGACAGAAATAAGGGCTATATACGTGGAATGCTTGTATTCGTCAGCAGCTGAAAAAAAAAATAACTCATACCATATACTGGAAATAGGTAGTTAGGTATACAATTATGCATTATGTTATATAATTTCAGGTTCTAAGTCAAATTAACAAATATTTAAGGCTGTCCATATTTATGAGCGAGATATGCCTAGGAGATGGATTAGCTAAGCTTATAGACTAAATCCTGTCTACATAGACGAGACGTGTCGAGACGTCCACTTACGCAATGCGTCCCGGACGTCATCATCGTATGTCAGCGTTCCAGTATTTCAAACTGCTTTGTTTTCCACTGTAACTCAGCGGGTGTCTTACACTTTGTGGCAGTGAGCCACTTTCTTACACGATATTGGCAGTAAGCCGAGTCGAGACGGGGTGGGACTAGGCGGTAACGCCACGGGTCGGGACGAGAAGGTTTGGACGGGGCGGCACATGGCAGGACAACACCCAGTCAGAACTATCGGTAATCGCTGATAGGGATCTTCGGAGGCGACACCTTGGCAGGTGCAGATCGCCAGCGAGGGCGTTCACACACGATTCAGAGTAAACAAGGGAGGACTGGGAGGTGGGAAGAGGTTGGAGGGGAGAGAGAGGGGAAGTCAATGGCTTGTTAGGTGGCAAGGGTACGGGTGTGGAAATGGCAGCCCTGTAAAATGGCATCCCTATCCCTAGAAAGGGATACCATTGGAAAGCCCGATCATCCGACACCTCATGAGAGAGACATAAGGAGGGGTGCCCAGCATTGTAGAAATGCCATTTGACAAGAGAGTGTTTTAAATGGCATAGGATTGCGCTACTTCTTCTCTATCTCTTCACATTTCTGGTCGAAGTTGAACGAGATAACTGTTTAAGAAGCACAAAAGTGCCGGTTCTCGGATCACAAAGCCCCGCCGCCCACGGATGCTGTGAAATATGCCGCACTTCCTGGACCACCCTGCTGTTCACAGACAGCTCCACAGAGGTTAACGTGCGTCTGGCCGCCCTCCAGGCCACTCTGACCTTCAAACCGCGTGTGTGCAGTCGCTATCCAGGTTATCATCTGACAATGGCGAGATCAACTATCGCATAACTTATGGCCCGCATCGGGCATTGGCATTTGTCAGATCTGAAGGCCGCAGCGGGGAAATAAAGACGAACGACTCTGCGCGCCTCAGAGCTGACAAAGCCCGCACGCTTTATTTGATCACCTTCGCGCCTGGAAACTGATAATTCAATCCCAATCTCGTGACGAATATTCACACGAAGCTGCTGCATCCGCGGTATGTTTTTGCTCGGCGGCGTCTCATGGCCGGTCGGCCACGCTGGCAGTCTCGCTGAGGCGCACCAGCGTCGGTCGGACGTGCACCGGCTATCTAAATTCCGAGCGGGGCCCGGCGATAGTGATTTATTGACAGCCTGAGCAGCGGCGGACGGCGGGCGGCGGCGGCAGCGGCGGCGGCGCCCCGCGCGGCCCGTCAGGACACGCCGTGCAGCATCCCCGACCCGGAGATCTTCAGTGGGACTCTCGCGCAAAGTTCGCGGAACGCCGTGTCTTCTGACCGCAGCGGTGCTGAACAGCGGCCTCTAACGACTGCTCAGCGGCCGTAATCGGCCGGCAGCGCCTGCAGCCGGCGAGCAGATCCACTGATGGATGACTAGTGGTCTCGGCCGTCTGTGCCTGGCCGTTAGCTGCAATTAGTAGCTGGTAGTTTTTGCTGATAAACAGTTTTTCACCGTATGTTTTGCTTGTGATAATAAATCGAATCAAAGGGTATGCCAATTAGCCCATTTGCTTCTCGGTTTGAATAACCATTTGGCTGTCAAAGCGATGATGATAACCGAAAGTCACTGTAAATAGACGCACCTATAGGCTTCGCACAAAGTTCACGTTCATCGCGAACCTGAGAATGAACTTTGGGCACACAAAAACA